GCTCGCAAAATGAGTAAAAAAAACTGCTGGAGATCGCAAATGACGGCGGCCTTAAAAGTACGTTCGAGACAACTGGATTAAAGTTATGGCTGAATACTCTGAGATCGCCACAATAGCACTGTTGCTATTTCCGACATCCTACCTGTGTGAGGCGGGGGGGTTCTGCAGCAACGGCGACGAAAACAAAATTACGAAGTAGACTGGACATAAACCACACACTTGAGGTGTCATTGTCTCCTATTACCCCGAGATGGGACCGTCTGGTTGGAGAAAATCAAGCTCGGTGCTGTGGTGAGTCGTCATTTTCATGCACTTTGAATTTGCGTTGTATCGTATTTTGAAGACATTAAACATTGCCAAAGCGATCGGAGTGTTGCGGCCAGATTAGACGCTCCTTGTGTTTATTATTATATTTCGAAAACGCCACCATTTTCATGCAGCTCATACCATATTATTTTGTTGTATTATTTCCGCCACACCTTAAATGCCGGTCCCTGAAAATATTGTCTGACATAAACCGGTCCGTGGGGCAAAAAAGGTTGGGGGCCCCTGCTTTATCGGATATTGTTTCGAATGACAAGTGGAGGTTGATGTAAGCCACTGTTGCGCATTCTTGTGCATGACTATATTTCACACATCGCACAAATGACTGTTTGGGAATGTCCACATTGAGAGAGTGCATATTTCTTGGCTCCCCCAAAATTCCCATGCAAACAAACGTCCAAAACAACAGGATCCATGTCCTTATTTGACACATTTTCAGGTAAAAGCGGTGCTGTGTAAAATCTGTTTTCACACAGCACCGCTCGCACTCCGAGTCTCCTCAGTGCCCATTATGTCAACCCTATTTTGCTTTACCTTCATTGTTGTTGCCTACTTCCTCTTTTCTCCCTACTGGGAGGTAATCAAGACCCGTTGTGAGTATTTAAGTGCTGAAGCAGACAAATGCTTGATTATTCTTGGGGCTCTATATTTTGTTGGGGAGGGCGAGGGAGAGGCGGAGGCTTTGGGACCACATGCTGGGTAGAAACTACACACACAAGCACACAGACGGGCACATCACAGCACATGTAGTCATAAGGCTTGTCCGTCAATAGGCTGTCAGCAGGTGAGACGGCGAGGAGGCATGACATGCACCTGAACTACACAGAGACAAGGTTGCGACAAGCAGTGCGACATCCAATCAGTCACACGCGTGTACACGCACGCGCACATGCAAGGAGACATGCACACTCACAGCCAAAAAAGTCAACAACCATCAAAGCAGAGCAGACAATGTAAGAGAGCCCATCTCTTCCCAGTTCTTCAAAGCTTCCTCTCATCTATTCTCCCCAACATACTGTATTTACTTGCACATACATACAACACCGAGGCAGGACTAGAATTAAGGAGGATGTCAAACAAAATCTACCGACATATTTTAAGTAAACCCCCGTAAAATGAATTCGGCGGACTAGTATCAAAGATTCATTTCTCAATCAATTAAACATGTTTGAAGATAAAATTGACAAAAGACAGATGAAAGAAGAAAGCATTTCAATTTTCCTGATCATAAATAACCACGTGTCACTCATGGTGTAGTGGCACACTCGCCTGACTTGTGTGCGGGGAGCGTGGGATCGGTTCCCACTCAGTGACGGTCTGAATGTGGCTGTGTATGGTTGTTTGTCTCTTTATGTGCTCCGTGACTGACCTGTGACCAGTTCAGGGGTTAGTCTGCCTTTCGCCCGAAGTCAGCTGGGATAGGCTCCAGCAACCCCCGCGACACTCTTCAGGATAAGCGGTGTTGAAAATGGATGGATGGATAAATAATCACTTTATGTCCAGTTGTTCTTGAAGTGACTGTGGAGTGGGTCAAACTCCTCTTGTGGTGAAACATTTTTCAACTTGAAACAATGACGGTTTTTTTGTCCCTCTAAATGTTCATATGAAAGTGCCCCTTCATAATTGAGGGCACTTTGCTGCTATAAGTGGAAAACTGCAGGTGACACTATGAGAGATTTCGGATCCTTGATTTTGAGATTTCACCGTCTGCATGATTTATGTGACAAGGAAACCGCTACGCTTCCATATTTCTATTTTATTCATAAAGAAGTGTGACCTTTACTCATTGCTGCAATTCCTAGCGCATGAAAACATCCCGGCATGCCTGTCGCACTTGCCGACATATTCCCACCAGGATGAGCCCGCTTCGGTGCTTCCATTGAACAGCTGGCTGTTACACACATTTTGTACTCACACTTGGCAGGGAGGCCGTAGCCGCAGGTGACCTTGGCTTGTCCGGTCTGGCAGCCGTGGAGCGACGCGCACTCTTTCTTTAAGAGGGGCCCTGCAGCTCGGTGGATGGCCCCGTCCACTGGAGGGGAGAGACGAGAGGATTCAGAGAGCTGGCCTACATGCGGGAATCGCCTGCAGCCACTCATGTGTTTGAAGTCCAGCTGAGACTTTTACTCGAATGAAGCAGGTGTCAGCGGGTTTTGCGCTGCAAGGCTCACGATAATGTCAAATTTACCGCCTTTTGCGGGTGTTAACCTTCACCCGTAATCCCCCACTTTGCTTTTTTGAAAGAGCAGAAGCATCTGGATCGCCTTGATGTCAGTCTGCTTAATGGATTTAGGGGCTAGCGCCTTGGTTAATTGCTCAATTTAAAGTGTTATTAAGGACTCAGCTGACTTTGACTTTTTGGTCAATTAGTCTCTGGTAATGACATTTTCATAAATCTACATAATAGTCCGGAGTGTCTATCTTTTAACCATGACAAGGCTAAAGACCAGAGAAAAAAGTGTGGTATATCTGTTCCACATACAATATTTTGCTCTAGTATAAGTTTGATGAAGTTCCTTGAATGACTTATAATTTTAAAAAAGATGCTTAAGAGCAGAACACTTAATATCTATTTTTTCTGATCAATGTGATTTCTTCATTCAGTCCACTGCCTCAAATCAAATCATGCAGAAAAACAATCGGTTTAGCACGACAGTGACACTTAGTAAGTGATTAGTCAACTTGATAACTCTGCATCAACTTTTAGAGCTTAAAGTCGACCAATCGATAAATACGTGTTTTTTGGAATTATGTCTTCTCGTCGGCCAATTTACAGAAGACCTTCGGACTTGCATGTATGCTGATATACTAAAATACACTCGTTTTGGATTTTCCTTTTTATAGTTTGTTTTTTATTTCAGTTTGACTTTTGTTCTTTAAATTTGCTTAATTTTATTTATTTATTTTTTGAGAAAGGTTGTTTTTTTAATGCTTCATCTTAGTGTACTTATTAGTTTTAGTATTTTTTTCTTAAATGGTGTAAATGTCAAATGGAAGATTTAAAAAATAAGTCACCAAGCATTGTGTAATAAAGTCAAATAAGGTAAAATTGTCAAACAACTGACCTTCCTTTTTCTGTAGCTACAGAGTAGCTAAATAGGCAGTATATCAAATAAAAATGTGATTTGAATTAAGATGAAAACAAAATACTTTTTCCACTATAAGTATAGTTAGTTTGAGTTAATTTTATAAACATGAAACGTAGTTTTGGTTATTTTTGGAGCATATTTGTCTATTTATTTTGTTAAGGAATATGTTTTTCAGTTTTAGTTACTTTGTCAACCATAACCACCTTGGTGGAGATGTGCAGTGTATGGCCAACATTGTCATACATCTGCGCGTGTCCAAGAGTACAGAAATCTAGAGGTGGATTAGAATAGCGTTTATCCTCGTGAGCCCAGGCACTTTAGATCGCCGATAAAAATGTAAATTTGATTAGTCAAAACAAAACTTTCTGAACAGATGAGTTTGACAAACATTACACCTATACGTAAACTGTTTTCAACACAGCTGGTGGATCTGCTGGGTCACTGCACCAGCTGCACCCAAAGCAAGCACTTGGTCAAAAACTGAGTCCGTCCCATTTCTCCAACCAGTGCGCTACACAACAGCAGAATTCGAGACAGAAGAAGCGGGTGTCATTTCCGGAATCTGATAAACCTTTCCAGCTGGAGAGAATTGCTAACCACTGGAAAACATTGTCATTTTGTGTGGTGCAGTATTAGATGATAATTTGATTGTATCGTGCTACCAAAGGCGCTGAAAGGACAAGGTTACATGACAGGAGCGTGCCAGATTACATTCATATTCATTTACTGACGGACAACAGTTGATTGCCATTTCGGAAAATGTTCCACGGTGGAGGTTTACGAATAAAATAAACATTATGCTCCGTGCTTAAGCTTTCCCCGTTAATTGGGATTTTGTGATTTTTCCGCACAAAACCAAATTATCCCCAGTATGTCCTAATTCCTTAATGGTACAATAGGAATTGGCCTAACCAGAAGTCATTTCATTGCATATCTTAAACGTATATTAAATATGGTAACAAAGTGCTTTTGAACACGGAATACTGAAGAGAAAAATACCAAACACTGAATACAGTACAGCAAATATTAAAGAAAATCATCAGAATACAAATCATACAAGGCAAGATAAATGGCACGTGGGGAGGTTGCACATTGAGAGCCCTCGTCAGCTATCAGCTATTCCAGACAGATCTCTTGGTGGTTGTGCTCAGACCACCAGTTGACGGTGACGGTGTGTTTTCACCAAACTGGGTCTCTGCAGGTGGCCTGGTGTGAAGCCAGCTGTATTAAATTGGCATAAAGCATGCGGTGTCACACTGTTGCGGGCCGCGTCATGCTGTGCCATGCTGTGCCATGCTGAGCAAAGAATGAGAGGAGAGGAGCATCCTAAAGGCAGCTCCTTCTCTGTTCGAGTGTTTGTGTGTATGTCGCACCTTCAAGGCATGTGTGCGTGTTGCATAGTTCTTTGACAATACCATCCGGCTTGACTTCGGCTCTTCTAAATCACTCACAAAACATAAGACAGATACATAAGCATTCCGCCACGTGTCGTTCTGAACACAGCAAAATCCCGGATTAAGTGACATCTGCCATTGAGAGAAAATCTGCTCCAAGAAAGTTGATTCTAGACATCTAACCCCTTCATCCACGCTTATAGCTTGAATTTCTCGGAACATGTGATTGATGTATTGTAGTTGTTTGTTAAGGATTTGGTGACGAGAGCAAACCAAGTCTCAAAATACAGTGTGATGCGACTGAGGGGTTTTTCAAGATACAACCCCACAGGCAGCCGATTTTTTTTTTTTTTTTTTTTTTTTTTTTTTTTTTTTTTTTTTTTTTTTTTTTTTTTTTTTTTTTTTTTTTTTTTTTTTTTTTTTTTTTTTTTTTTTTTTTTTTTTTTTTTTTTTTTTTTTTTTTTTTTTTTTTTTTTTTTTTTTGAGTAGTGGGCAGAAATTTTAAGTCAAGGTCACGCTTGTAGAATAAACCGTAATATAAAACGAACAATGAAGCTTATGAAAAGCCTCTCGGAATGAATTGTGTTTGCATACCATGGTGACCTATGAAAGAAAACAGGTTGAAGTGGGCCTAAGTAGAGATACGACAAAGCTCATGACAATAAAACACTCCCCCAAAGAAAAATATTGGACGTACAACGTATACCATGGTGTAAAACATTCAAATGTTCTGTCTGTAATTCATATCTTCTTTTGTTCTAAGTATTAAGGGACCAAAAAAGAAATCATTTTCTTCATTCTAATAGTTAATTAACCATCTGATTAATGAGTTATCTCAGTCTGCCAAATAAATGGAATCGGCCTCATCCATAGCGGTCAGGCCTTACTGAAGCCTCCAGTATCACTTGTTTTCATACAATTTTCAATTCAGACTTTAAAAATGAGATGCATGAATTGCATCTGTGATGTAACTCCCTTTTCTATGATGCCCTCATCTTTCGCCATTTAAGTTAATTACATTTTTTTTCGCGTCTTTACATTAACAGCAGCTAACTTGTTTTAGAACGTTAAGATGTTAATTAAAAATTCCTGTAGAGTTAATGAAGGTTTTATGATGGTGACAATTTGACTCTGGAATGGATTATTTCCACTTATTATCTCCAATGGAAGACAAGGCGGTGGGGGGGGGGGACGCTCACAGGTGCTGCCTTGACACTTGATTTTGCCCGGGTACAAACAGAGACCCATAATTAGCCAGACATCGGTGTAGATACTGTACCTTGGGAGATATACGGCAAACTGATTCAGACCTTGAAACAGTTTTAGATATCATACATAATGAAAGTTGAAAATAACTCCTCAAACAGGAGAGAGAACACATTGAATTACAGTGAGTTGACTGAATCCATGTATTGTATATCAAGTGTCTATTTGCCTTTGCTGCTGATACATAGATTGTCCCCTCTCATACATTCTATCCTTGGACTCAGTGGCAGTAACCCTGCTTGGTCCCCAAACGCTATTCAGTCCACTCAAACACGCTTCCGTCACTGCAATGCGCTTTGAGATATGAAGAAAGACTTCACAAGAGGCGAGGAAAGCAAATGATTGATGTGTTTGAGGTTCTGCAGTCTTTCTCAGGAGCTGGCTTCCATGTCGGTGCATTCCTCTTCAAGGGTGGCCTGTGACACTCATCATCAACATAAGCTATTAGCTCCAAAGGACTATGTCTCCTTCCTCAAGCTGATCATGCTGTGAAGGTTGAATTGAAATGGACTGTTCATGATGAAATATGATCACTTATGAACATTTTTAGTATGGGGAAAACACTTTATTGGGTATGGTACTGCTGGGTGATATGGTTGAAAAGTGTACCATGATATACAGATAAGGATTACATATCACTCGATATCCTGTAGATTATTATTATTATTATTATTATTATTATTATTATTATTACTATTTTAACTCTCTAAAATAAGGACCGAGAGGGAAAAAGATGAATATGGGTAATTTTATTTCAAAATATAATATTGTAACCCTAAATGAGAGGTTTAAACAACTATGAAGAAGTCAAATTAACTGGATAATTTAAAGATTAAATAAACTACCAAATTAAAAACAATTCAACTGATTAAAGATAAAAATGAAATACAACACATCTATCAAGAGGAAAAATACCATTCAAAATATCCGGTAGTAAAACTCGCTTATGTGCTGCAAATTTTCTCGTAGGTGCTTGTAATTTCGGCACAAATCTAATGTCATGCTGTAGCCTCTGCTTACAGCATACAGAATGACGGGGTCAGGGTTTGCTCCGTGATTTATTTTTTAATCAATATTATATTGAGTGGAATTTCTATTGATATTGATCAGGGCCATGATTCTGTTCTTGTGTGTCTCCAGCAGGTGACAGAGGAGGGCCTTCCCTCCAGCGTGCACACCCGCTACCAATGTTGATGAGCCGACTATTTTAGGACTTCCAAGTTGCCACGTCTTTGTCGGATAATGCTTTGCCACAGAGCACTGAATTCTTCGAGACAAGGGGT